TTGAGCATTAGGATTTATTTATTTTATTCACAGCTGGCCGTTACGTAAGATCGTCCAATCCCGAGGAAATGGCACGTGCCAAGGATCAATTTAGCAAATTCGGAACTGGACAGTCACAAACCGAATACTTAAAAGCACATCGGGCAAACCAGAAAAAAATAATTGACCAAAAAAATCCAAAATGACTGGACTTGATGCAAAAAAATATCAATGCCGCCGTCATCTATGCTGGTCATCAATAAAATATGTCATTTTGATTTTTTTTTATTTATTCTAAAATTGTTGTGCATCGGTCAATAAATTTTTTTGCCTTTGTGTATTAATTCCATCTGAACTATGTGTATTTGTTTATATATACAACTACGCAGACTCAAATTTTAATCGAACTGATAAAATTCAAAGCACCATTCGCACTGGCTGTTAGCGCATCGATATGTTTGAAAATATCAAAAAATTATGCTGCCCATCACAGTTTTAAATAAATATTTATATGTTGTGCTATCCCAGTGTTGGAAGATAAATTCATCATTTTGTGCGGCTATATTAATAGAAATGTAACACAGCAAGACTAAATACAAAAAAAAAATCATCCATAGCCCTTGTTTATAATTTAATGGTTAATCTTATCGAGTATTTTGCTTGCTTGCAACAATTTGTTGTCATTCATTTTCTTGGAAATGTACATAGTTATACAAAAACCAACAAACTCGTGCATCAGTTGAAGAAAGTGTTGTTTACATGACGAAAGATTGAGAAAATTTTGTTGAAAAAAATACAACGAATGCAAACGAAGTAAGGAGGAGAGTATTGAATTAACATGCAATGCAAAATACAAAACGTCTATGGGTAAAAAAAAAGTGACAAAATTCTTTTCAGACGAATCTAAACATTAAAATATCATTGAATTATATTGAAAAAAATATATCCACCGCATGCGGATGAGATGAGGCAAAGCGAAAGTGAAGCGCGCAATTTCGCACGAAGGAACCATATAGCGCAAAATGACGAAGTGTTTGCCTGCTATACCGTGCCTTCGTGTGGACTTGCGCGCTCCTCTTTCGCTTTGCTATCCGCATGCGGCTCAATCATTAAATGAGTGGATGTATTTTTTCAATGTTCGAACGAATCAGTTTAACGCTTGATTCTATCTGGTAAAGTCCCATTTTATCGAGGTAAGCTTGTTCCTTTTAAGCAACATTCACAAAAACGAATTTTTGCCAAGTTCTTAAGTCAATCTTTACAAAATTATTAGTTTTTGTATTTCGTTCAAAAAAGTGTGATTCCAATTATTATTTCGCATTCAAATTAGTTGCATATTTTGTATTCAAATTTTTGTGTTAGAATGATTAGACGTGAATTTTCCATTTGATTTGTCTTCTTTCGTCATAATATTTTTGATTTTACAACATATATGTTCAAGCATTAATATTATTCTTGATTCTGTTTAATTCAATAGTTGTCTGTAAAAATGCCGCTAGACAAGGATAATGCAGGCCATCGTGATTTTTCTGATCGGCTTGATGCGAAATTTACCGGAAACAGTTTTTATGACAAAACTGCTCGACCCATCATCCATGGCGCATATCACGGTAGAAAAATTAATAATCCATCAATAATTTGAGCATTAGGATTTATTTATTTTATTCACAGCTGGCCGTTACGTA